CCTCCAGCTTGCATGCTTTCGAAGATCTTGGGTAGATTAACTGAACATTCAGAGCAAGAAGCAACGGCAGTCTTCGTAGAAGCATGGCGAGTCAGAAAGCTATCCCCAATTTAGGTTTGGAAGTTAGGCCTTATCTCAGTTGGCTTTGCAGATTGCTGAGCTCAAGCAGCAGTACAACAAGCTGATACAGGAGGCCAGGATGGGATGCATGTCGACAATGGCAAAGACACTAGTTTGCATAGCGGCTTTGGTGATAATAGCTTTACCGGTGAATGCACTATGAATAAGAAGCAGTGATCATGGTTAAATGGAGTTTGGCAAAGCAAATGCCTCATGCAAGTTTGTGTGATGCCAACTGGTATGTCTTTGGATTGTGAAAGAACCCCAAGAATTATCATGGATGAACCGTCACCACTGCTGCTACTGCATTAAACGGAAGTCAGAGCATGCATGGCGGTCTTTTCCAAGAGGAAATGTTCCCCAACAGACTAATTTGGAGGTTCACGAGACTTGGTAGCTACATACAACTGGGCTTAGAGCCCTGCTTATGGTTGGGGCCATCAATCCTTGTAATAGTAGTTGGAAACATTATGATTAGGATTACATGCCCAGTTGCAAGTAAGTACTATGTCCTGTGCACCTCCGAGGGCAGCCGTTTGAGTCGAGATTTGACAAGGATTTAAGGAAAACGCGGTTTTGAAGGCGACTTCGTACGTATGCTGGTGTTTAAGCCCGCCTCATTTTGTGCTTGGTTGCTACTTCTCTTCAGCCCCTCCAAGTAGCATGAATTTGGGCACAGGGCGGCTCGCTACTTCACTCGTATTTCACACGCATATTGGGGTTCACGCTGCGTCTGCCCTGCAGTCAGCTTGCATCTTGCCTCCATGATTTCACATGAACCACACTCGCCAGCGCGACGAGCTGAAGAATCGAATGCGTCGCTGAGCCAATGCGACGCTGAGCCGGGCAGCCCTCTGTAGCGCGAAGCGTTTAGAGGGGCTTCTGGCGCAAGATATGTTGCGGGGAGGTTTTCGAAGATTAACTGGCCCATGCATGATGGCATTTAATCACGTCACACATGCATACTTGATACCCCGTCCAAGTCTTCTTGATTGGCTGGAGGTTTGCCACCAGCAGATTGTTTCACACATAGAGCCACAGTTTCGTCTTTATTCAGAAGCCTTTCCTCCAAATGGAGCACTTGGCATCCTGGGCATCGGAGTGGAAGGTGCGGATGATTTCTAGTTTGTCAAAACAGCTGCAACTGAGATGGGTTGCGGTACTGCAGTACCCCATCGGTGCTAGTACGAAGAAGATAGAAGATTTCGAGAATATGAAACCCACGGACATCTTCGGGCCGCTGATGGTACCCAGATGTAAGGAACCCCCCTTCTAATTCCAGTCCCCAGCCAGGTGAAATGATTCTAGTTCCAGTTTCAGCGAGGTGAAATGATTGCACAGATGTCCAACATAAGTTTCCATCTCTGCAGAAAGCACAGGGTTTCCGGCTGATCAATAGGAATCCAGTTGTTTCCGCCTGAACTGACCACCTACTACGAGAGAACGTGGACTGACGCACTGTCCAAACTGCTATCAAAATTAGGCCGCTTGTGCGGATTTGATGCAGCTCTACAGCCTGTAAGCACGGCGGTCTTCGATTGATTTGGGTCACGGGGGCCGATGGACTATTTGGCTTTCTTTCGGGGTTGATCTCAACGTTTCCCTCGCATGCTATTTCATTCTAGCTGAACTCCCCATCAGTTGACTGCTGTTTGCTGTCACAATTTATGGCAACTGTCCATTCCTCTACGCCCAGACAAATCCCCAACTTGTTTTTTCTGGCGGCCAAAACCTCAGCAAAGGATGACAATGCTGAAGGAGAAGTGTAAGACTTCAAGCTGGGAAAGTAGAGCGGCTCAGCGATGCCTCGTGGTGCACGTTTTCCCCCATCACCCATCTTGGCGTTGTCAGTCGAGCCTTGGTTCTTCTAGAGAACAGACGGGGGCTCGGCGCATCCAGCTGGATGAGGTGCATGCAATTACCGGGGAGCTTCAAGCAAACTTGTCCACTTTGGGAAATTAGGCCTGCAAAAGTGTCACCAAATCCCGTGGTCGAGCAAGGACTATCAAGGTTCAGATTACGCAGGTTGATTGCAGGCTATTCGGTCCGCGTATGGGCTCAGAGTGGAGCCGCACCAGCACAGCTAAGCCCAATGACGGAGGTTCTTGCACATGTTTTTTGCCCACGTTGTCATCAGAACCATGTTGATCATGTGCTTACATTAAAGCCAGCTTCCTGTTAGCATCCATATTAAACTAGATATGCATTGCGTCTGCAGTATGGTATTGCTTACAAGCACTTGGGTTGCATTTCTTGCGATTGCCCTGATGGCTCTGCGCTGGTCAGTGGGGCCCCTGTGGGACAGATCGCCAGAGCCACGCACATATGGGTACTTACTGGTTTAATTAGAATACTGACTGATAGTGCACATGTTGGGATTCGACGTTCTTCATGCATAGGGCACGTTATGAGGGCTTGCCAGGGATCTGTGACTACCTTCTTGCATCTTTCCTCGACCTTCTTTCTGCCAGAAACTTGATGTCCGAATCCGCATACACGAACGTTTGGCTTCGAGTTCAGAGTTTGCGTGATGGTTTTCACGACCGCTGGCAGAAGGATTCTGGTTTAGAGGTCAGTTGTCAGGGGCTACTGCTGCCGCAAATGTGTTGTGTCGAGTTTGTGCAATGCGTTTATAGAGCAGGGTGGGGTGGGAGGGACGAGAATGCTGTTGTTGGGAACAACATTGGCGAACGTGCGTTTATGGGACTGCATTCAGGTAAGGACGAGAACGATGCGGAGAATATGCCATCAACAGGTAGGGTTGGAACTTGTAGACAGGCTAGGTGTGCATGGTGTACGAAGCAGTTCCTACGGCTGATACGAAACATGTATGACGCTTCGAATTATGATATTATAGTAGACTAGGGTTATGCAAGGCTCTTAGTATCAACAGCATCTGGGGCTTCTCCAAACATTTTTTCGATTTGTTGTAGCTTTTTGATGAGGGATTTTAGTGGACAACCCAAGAGGAAGTGCATAGGAGCCCGTGTGTGACCCTAGGGCTCCAAACAGCTCTAAAAAGGTATCATTTGTACACTTCGAGGCCCGTAGGAGGCATTACTTGTGGACTTGGAGCCTCAGGTAAGGGTCACAGCTCATGCCAGCAGGAAAAGGTTTGTTGAAAGTACTTCTAATGAGTGATTTGCAAGCATCAATGGGCATCGATATTGAGAATCTCGCATGTTGATAAGCTTCCCCAGCATTCCGAACAGAACCTGGAAGCTCAGAAGAAAACCGCTCCGTTCCAATCAATCGATCTCCATCATCCAGGGTTGAAAGCCAGCATAATTGCTACAAAAATGGGCTTCTTAACAAGTATTCCCATCATGCATGGTGTGGGTGCACATTCGTTTAGTTGGTGCTTAGGACCCTCAGGGTATACTATACAAGTGTAATCCTTCTCAATATGGTATCAAAAAATTGGGGGGCCCTGATTTTCGCATACTCCTTTAAGCCCTAAGCTTCATATAACAGTCCTAGAGGATGATCTTGCTGGATACCTACAGGGAAAAAAAGCCAAAAGTGCGAAACTTGATGATTCATGCTACTTTTTGGTAAGCCTGGGGGAACGGGATACTGATGTTGCAACAATTTGGCTTGTACTGTCTCTCCCTCTTGGTCCTGTAGAGAGCATGAAGCTTGGGATTTCATTATTGCATGTCCCCAGGACCTACAGCAGTATGAAATTCGCAGGAACCCACTCTTGTTCGAGCACATTGCATTCTTTCGGTGAATTGCTTTGGCTCAGGCGGATTTGTTGATAAGTGAAAGATTCAGCAGCAACACACACCAAAACATGCTGACCATGCTAAAATATGTCAGTCAAATCCTTGAAATCAGCAAGTGGATACCTCAAGTCTGTGGCCACCACTAGCCGGCTTCACTGCCCACCAAGTCATACGCGCAGCGCACCGTCCCTGGCGCATGTTCTGACTTCCCGCAACTGGGTGAACGTTAAGGTTTTGTTGCCTCCTTGTACTACACGAGGTAGGAAAGGGAGAGCCCTTGACTTTAATAATGACGGGCGTTGATCTTTCAGAATTGCTGCAGGGATCTGTTTCCTCAAGCAATTGAAGGACATCAGAGCTTTTAGTCGTGCACCCACCGTCCTGAGAACTATAGAACGTCCCACAGTCATTACAACCTCTAGGCGGCAAAGCTAAATGCACAACCCTTTCTCAGGTACATAGGTTTCGCTCAGTTGGGCTTCAGGAAGTATAGTTTGCGGGCTTCTAAGAGCAGAAAGGCGGAGGGCTCGGCGTAAGGCCCTAAGCTGTCAGCAACGGGCCTTTTGATGGATGTCCTTCTGGTGCACAAGGTTTTTCTGTGAATTCAAATGTTTTTTTCTGATGGGGTTTGGCAGTGGACTAGTACTGTCTGCTTGCTGTACCCAACTCATCAATGAATTCAATGCGCTATTGGCCCGACATGCTTCCATCTGGGCTGATGCCCCTAGGCTGAAGCTCGAAAACAGGTTGCTTCCCCAATCCAACATCAGCTGACCAATGAGGGCTTAGCGATTAGCCCAGCCCAAGCCCTGACAAGTGAAGCTTGAGCCTTAAGCGCTGAAGTCAGGACCTACTCCCTGATGCCTGCATGAACCTTAGCTTACACCCTGAACCACTCCGAACAGACACCTTTAATAACTGACCCCAGAGCCTACGCAGGGGAGCTGTGAACCCTTCAAAAACGCAGTCGTCAAGGTCAAGGCAATTTAGGGCCCCTTGTCTTTTTAGGAGTTCCCATCATAGAGATTATTATATTTTGCGCTCCATGTTGTCCAAATTCAGACATGACCCCTACATTTGGCTCATTCGAGCCTAAACCCCAAGACCTACGCCCTACGACCCATAACCCCAAACCCTAGAAACCCTGAGGCAATGACTGGAAGTGTCTTCGACCTGACCGACATCTCCTTCTTCGAGCTGGATCGGCTCTTCGCGCAAAGCGTCCGCACTGTCAAGAGCCTTGTCTTCTTCTGGCTCCTGTTTCCCTGGGACTCCAAGTCTGTAAATGGTTGGGGGGACCCTTGTATGGGCCCGAAAAGGGGACCCCGAATTTTGGGAAATCCCCAAGTATTGCCTACATTTGGCCCTAACATCCGGCCCTAAAGACCATGAGTAGTACCTACCAAAAACCCTAAACCCTACGTTTGGCCTGAAGTCTAAAAATAGTTCAGGCCTGCGGCCTGAGGGTTTAGAGGGAGTTTAGGGGTCTGGGATTTAGGCTTCAAGGCTGGTACCGGTTTATAGGGCTTAGAGGGTTTAGGGCTTTGGGATTCAGGGGCTGTGACCTACGGCCTCGGAGCTTATACCCAGTAAGTTGTTCTTCAAACATACGAAGTTGTAGATCGGTTGCGAAAGGGGTCTCTTGATTCGAGGATGGAGCAAACCCTTCACGACCTCTGCAGGGGCATGCCCTGTGAGGTGTGAAACTCTGTCACAAACTCGTGGGCTTCAGGAGCAGGAAACCCTAAACTCTGAACCCTAAGCCCTAAACCTTAACCCTAGGCCCTGTTAAGGATTTTTGCTTGGTATCTCTACATGTGGCTTTGGTGGATCCCAGAGTGTGTGTACGGTGAATACTAACAATCCTGCATGACCCTAAGTACCTTCTCCCTTGGGAATTAAAATGCTACAGTAGAGTCAGGTCATGCTGGTTTTATCGTATCAACTATATCTCGCTCTTCCTGCTTCCGAGATCGCCTGACAATTGGCAGACATGTTTGTTCTGTTGTCGAAGCCAAAAATTTCGGACATGAAGCTGTGCTTCTCTTTCCTGTTTCTAAGGGTGGAGGGGATACTGCTGTCATGAAGTTCCGGCTTGTAATGGAACTCTGGTGTGCTCGAGTGGTGGTTCTTAAGGTAATCCTGAAGCAGGAGACGCTCCATATTCGCATGAGTACTCACTCATAAGCATCCGCTTGCATGCCCCGGAACACCAGGAGCCTTAGTCCGGCGACCACAGAGCCCAAAATGGCAAGTCCCCCAATGTTGAATATTTCATTTCAGGAGGAGGCAGCACAAGCGAAAGCGAAGGGTGAAACAAGGCCGGCATCTGTGGAGTTGTTCGCAGTCTTCTGCTTTCTGCTTTTGTGTCATGTTCGGCCCTGGTGACTTAGGTTTTCTGAGTTTGTAGGGTTGAGGGCTTCGTGCTGTCTCAGGTTTAGGAACCAGCCTTGTCATGCAAGGATTATCTCACGTTTCAAGGCTTTGGTGTTTCCTCCGGTTGCGTTTCTTCACAAATGGTCAGTCTCAACGCTTTGAGATCATTACGCTTTGGTGTCCTGACGCAGCCCCAAACGCTAAATATGGCCCTTAAGCCTACGCGTTCGCCGTAAGCACAATGCTAATATTCTCAGATGGGAGGCGTTTTGTCTTGAGAGCCTCCCAGATCAGAGGCGCGTACTGGATTTGTGGCAGAAATGCCTTAACGTAACTCCTTCCAATCCTCCTTCGGTGACCCGTGAGAGGGACTAATCCCAAATCCTGAATCCCCGAACATTTTCAGGGTACTCCCAGGCTCCTAAAAACTCCCAAATCCTGAAGCCCGATCCAGTACCATATTAAAACAGGGGCGTCGTTTCAGGCTCCCCCATATACTCCAGCTACATCCAAATTTCGCTACATCCTAAGTTCTTAGCCCTGGAACCCAAAATCCCTAAGCCCTGAGTCACAAAGCCTATGCCCTAGTCGTGCCTGGGTAAGTATTGGGCTGATGTTGCTTTGAGGTTCATGGGACTCAGTAGCCGCTTTGTATAGAGGGGTGTTTTCCTGCTTTTAATACCGGTCGTACAAATGTTGCCCAAATCATAAGTAGGTTTACAAGCCCAGTTGCCTTTAGTGTTTAGATCCCATGGACCGTCATGTGTATACTACAACTCAATAAGGGATGTGGACTTCAAACTTTGAACAAGGTCCCAATAAAGAGCCCGCTGAACCCCTCAGCTCGCCATGGAAGCCCAGATACCCTCCTGTTCTTTAGTGCATGTACTAATATAGAGCCCTATCGTACCCAAACCCAGGAACCTACCATACAACTGGGCTTCTGTGGTCTTCACAGGTGCCGCGTCCTCAAGTTCGGAGCGTTCTCGCTCGCCGCCACGACGTGGATCTCTGCGCATGGGCGGCCGGGTCTTGCCTCTCGGGCTTTAAAAGCCTAATTACAAACCAAAGGTTTTATGGGTACATAATACCTATTGAGTTATCATAGGGTGTGCTTCGGAGCCAGTGTTTTGTTGTTTTTGTTGGGGTATTCATGGTAGACCCAGGCAGCCCAAGTGAGTGAATCTCCCCCCACAGCCAAAAAAGCACGCCCTCACCCCAACAGGAACAAACACTTGTACCGCGTTATTCCAATGCATGCTGATTAAGCTGCAGGTAATGAGGGTTGCAGCTAGGCGAAAGGTCTACAATTAGAAAATCAACATATAGGAAGAACTATGCTACTCTTCCCTCCTATCAGTTGTCTGGGTAGGGCCGTACTGATGTTCCAGCTCTTTGCTCTTCATTGCCATCAGGAGCTTCAGGGAGCACTTGAAGGTCTGTGGGATGTAATCCGTAGCTTCTTTTTATTGGGATTGCCGGAATTCTCAGGACGTTAGCTTAGGTTGAATAAGTCGGGTTATATGATGCAGTTACTGGGTGCGATAGACCTTGTTTAATACTTTTGGGGGGTTCGCTGAGATGTGTCGAGTAGGGGTAAGGGTTGGTTAATAGTTGTTGATTTTTAGCATGCATGATAATTAGGAAAGCTAAGATGTAAGTCAGCGGAGGTACAATTAGCGTGTAGCTAAATCCTAAGCCCTTAACCCTACACCCTATACCTTAAATAGTAGCTTCCAATTTCTTCTCTTCCATTGTCCTTATATCACTCCGAAATAACCCAAATGTAGCCAGTGCAGCTCATAGAGCGCGCCTTACGCTGAAAGATTTGGAGCTGTAGGTATCTGGAGCTACAATTAGAGTCTGTTCCCATGATGTGACTTATTGCTCCTTGAAAGTGGTTATATAGGGGATTATGTAGGAAACTACTATAAAGGTTATAAAGGGGGAGACTAGGAGTTTAGACTACAGCTCATGTCAAAACATCTTTGGCACACAGCTTTCCTCTTGCAACATCAGCATTTCTCCAGCCCAGAGAGCTGGAAAGCATTGAATACCCTCGGCATTTGCTGCGCGGCGCGTCGCGGGGCCTTGAGGAGAGAATGTACTCCCATCCCCTTAGGAATTATTTTCACTTTCGTAGCTTAACCCCAGGGAACCATTAAAATTGCATAGGTCTAAACCGTATACCCTAGACCTTGCCGTCTAAACCCTGTTTGTATTAGTATAGGTCTGAGGCAACTGCAGTGTAGGGCATGTAAGGTGCACACAGTGTTTTTGGGGGGCCGATATCCTGCTGATCTTGCACTACCTAAACCCAGGGTCTAGGCATAGGGTTCGTGTTCGGGGATCAAGACGTGTCTTTTCGGGCTTAGGCTCAGGGTTCAGAGCTTGGAGGAATACAAGGTACCAGAATGGAACCATACTACTGCATTTGGCGAAGTTATCGGCCATGAGCCCAAGACTGTAGTCAGTAGTCCGCAGAATTGTGTTTTATGTTGTTTTTGTCAGATCCAATTTCACAAGCTGCAATACATTCTAGCTTGAGACGCGCAACATCTGAAGACATCACAAAGAGCCGTAGTATCAAATCTTTACAGACCCAAACCCGTAAGACCTAAACGCAATACACCAAACCTCAAAGTTTTAAACCCTTGTCCCTAAACCCCGGGCCTCATCCCTGAACCCCATACCCAACATCCAAAGCTCTAAACCCTGTATCAACCCCTCTGGAGAAACTACAAGGCCTCAGACAGGGGGATTCACCGACAAAGTGGGCATAGTGGATCGCACGATAGTGGTCACCGGCATCCCCTATGGCGCGGATGAGAAGGTCCTGTTCAAGCACTACAGCCTCTCAGCTCGATTTGAGGTGTCAGATTCATAGAACTCAGGATCTAGGGTCCAGGGTTTGGGATCTAAGTCGCGGTGCAGGGTTCAGGGTTCAGGGTCTAGAGTTTACGGTTTTTTTTGCTATGGCCGTGCGC